AGGGGGTTTTAAATGTAGCGAAGTAAAACTACTTAGGTCAAAATTTACTCGAGTAAAAGTAAAAATTACATATTTCAAAAACTACTCAGAAAATTACAAATTACTCATAAAAAGTACTCAATTACAGTAACATGAGTAAATGTAATTCGTTACTTTCCACCCCTGTGAAAAACACATTTGGTTATTTTGGAAGCTAGAAATGTTCTTCCATGGTTGCGTTTTAATTACTGGGACAGAAAGAGACGTCTGATATTCCACAGAGCAGAAAAAAGTGACTCCCTGACAGGAAAATCAATTTCTGATGGATTAAACCCCCATTATGGAGTTTTTCTTAAGATTTATTAGAAAAATACATATTTTTATATAATCATTATCACAAAAACATGCTTATTTAATGTTCTATAGGGGAGACTATGTTAACGGTTAATTGTTTTCTTGAGGAAAAGCTGAACAAATGTTCATGAAGTTTGTCATTTGAAATATAATTGATCAGGACAAACCGTTAAAGATGGCGGCACAGTGAAGCAGCTGCATTAAACAGAAGAGGTAAAGAGGATTCAATCAGCAGGTCTCACCATTTCTCCAAACATGTCGCCACTACAGCTCGTCTCGTCCGGACTCAGCCCGGCCAGAGAGCGCTCAGACGGTGTTGGTGATACCGGGGGGCTGGAGCTGGTGCTGCCGAACCGCATGACCCGGCCTGGAACGGCCTGAGCCAGAGAGGACAAGGCCAGCTTGAAGCAGCCTCCGCCCTCCGCCGGCTGGAGCTCAGGGGTGGCGTTGGAAGCTGACGTGACGGCGCTGGCCTGCTGGACCGCCTGGGGTGTAGCGTTCTTTAAAGCGCTGCTTTGCTCCTGGTAATTGCGGAGCCTCTCGATGAGGTCGTTCTTTGTGCCGGAAACAGTCAGACCGCGTAGTTTCAGCTCCTGCTTTAGCTCGGCGACCTGAAGGATGAGGAGGGAGGGATCAGTTACCACTTCGCTGGACAGGGGAAGGACGAAACGAGTAGAAACGGGACGTGAAGTCGATTATTTACTTTAAACTCATCCAGGTTGGCAGGTAAGGTTGTCGGTTTGGTTCCTGCTGCCGACGCCGCCTGACTCTGACGAGCTGCTGGGGTCTGAGCAGAGGGCGCCATGGCGGTGGTGGTGTGAGAGGTGCGGGAGGGGGAGGGGCCGGAGCCGCTGGTAGGAGGCTGATCCGCTTGTGGTCTGTGATGAGGGAAAGAAATCAGCAGATGGTTTGACCAAACCCAAATAAAACAGCCTTTCAAAACAAGCCCCGCCCCCCCACAGCTTCCGACATGCAACCAGCGGGCGATCGTTTTTAGCTTAATAACACACTTTATGAAGCAGCTGTAAAAAGGATCCGACCACAGCAGAGGAGACACAACACACAGCGAGGCTCACTTGGGAGGGGCGGGCAGGATGGTGTGGTAGTTGTAGTGCTGCTGCTGCTGACTGAGAATCTGCAGCTGCAGGAAGAGCTGCTGCTGCTGGAGCAGCTTGGCGTAGGACGAATCCATCTGAGGCGGACGCTCCTTATCCGCCTTCTGGTCCGGAGGGATGTACTGGTGGTACTTCAGCTTCTTCACCTGCAGGCAGAGGAGGGAAACGAAGCTGAAACCAGGAAAATTAGCCCCATTAAAAACATTAAACCGATTAGATTCTGCACAGCTTCAGTGTGTTTAATGGGACGGGGCAAGAAATGGAGGCATATTGAGGACAATTACACTGATGCCCCTAAATAAAATAAGGAAAGGAGACACTGAAAACGTGGCGGTATCATGCTGTGGGAATGCTCTCCCAAAGTCTAGAACTGAATCCAACCGTGAGAAAATGATCTAAGATAAAAAGCATGAAACTCAATCTGAAAAGAAGAAAATGAAAAAATAAGAATTGAAAATAACATCTGCAGAAAAAAAAATATGAACAAAAATTTTAAATTTAAATCTGAGAAAATTATCTGTTTGGATTGTGGTTCTGATTTCAACTGAAGCTGAAGGAAATGGATAGAATCAGACTGAAGATAAGAAAGTTCTGTTTCATAATTCTGATGGTTCCATGTTGGACCCGCGCCGCTTTGGGTCGATCCAAACAAAAAGCACAGAGTTAAAACTAAAGTCCAGCACAGGCCGAGTTCACTGCGGCTGAACGGAAACCGGATTCCTTCCTCTTTTAATCCAGGTTCTCAGAATGTCATACTGAAATGTCAAAGTTACCAAGAAGCTTTTTTTCTGCACATTTTAAAGGAACAAACACTGAAAACATTAGAAATCTCTTCCTATTTCAGTATTTCTCACCCTTTTCAGGAACCATGAGAAATAAAACCAAGAGTCAAAGTTCTGAACCCTTCAGAGAAATAACCTGAAAGCTGAACCGGGTTAAAAGAAAGCTCAGTGTTCACACCTTGAAGCTTTCTCTCTCCGGTTCTTTACTCATCATGTGATCAACCAGAGAAGATGCTTTGAGTTAAGGAAGGCAGCGTTTACCAACCGGGCTCACATCTCATTGGAGATGCCCAGAATCCCAATTAAAGAAGCATTTTATTCAACTCAAGCAGGCTTTTAGCTAACAATGCATACACTAGGGCTGAGCTATAAGACGATATAAAACAGATGATAGAAAAGTATCCATCAGGCTAATTCTATTCTATCATCTCTAAAAGGCTGGTTATCCTCCCACAGCAGTGTGTTGCAGTGAGCTTGTTGCAGCTGGATACAGATATTGAAGCGCGGTCTGCGGCGTTATTCCACGCCACAACACAAGAGGGACGATCAGGAACTAGCTGTGGGTCGAGATACGGCCGAGAAGGTGAGGAAGTTGAAAAACGAAAGGGGCAAAATCCAGGTGGTAAAAGGGTCCCAGCGTTCTCACGCACCTCGCTCCTCTAGCTGGTCCATCGTCACGAGTCGTTTTCCACAATGGCGGTCAGACAAACAAAACAAGCCGGTAAGGTACCAAACAGGAAATACGCATAGTGCAGAGGGGAGGTAGATTTGACCAATCAGAGGCCTCCTGTCTGCAGTCACCCACAAATTTTGGGAGAGGTGCAGCAGAGTGTCTGCGGAAAGAGCTGCATACTGGGACACACTCAAACGACCTGGTTTCTGAGCATAAACCAGGCTTAGCACTACTATTTCACATATTCTACCAAATATTTCCTGAGACAGACTATGAGGAACATATTACTGTAGTCATGTAGCCTAATCAAAGCTTATATGAGTAAAAAAAACACGTTTTATTTTTGTTTAATCTACAAAGAAGCGCCGTCTTGTGGTTTTGCAACATGATGCTGCTTTACGGCTTTTGACTCACATGCAGGTTTGCGACACGCTTTACGTTACTTTACTCATGAGCGCTGAGAGATGGAGACACAGGAGGCGGAAATCTTAAACCTGTGATCACATCAAACAGAGACGGCTACACAGGCAGCCCAAGATGAAGCACTTTTCTAAACAGAGGGGGTACGTCACAGACACAGAGCACGACGCAAACACAATAAACCTCTTTTATCACCTAAAGAAGAATCGCGAAAAAGTGCGAGGTAAAGCAAGTTGTGACGTTAATATAGACAAGCTTAAAAAATGAAGCAGCAGAAGCTTCTTTGCTGCTCAAATCACGCTGTGAACGTTGCATTAAACTTTCTGATTGTTTGAATTGACCTATGAAACAAATGATCTCATGTCTTCCTTATGAAATGTCCACCTCTAGTCAAGCACACATACTTCCCTTAATCGGGACAAAAGTAGAGTTGGAACAAAGACAAAAAGTTAGCTGCACCTCAAAACGCAGGAAACAGCATTTCAGAGTCTCAATATCTAAATGTTCTTAGGGAGGATACACCGGACCCCCCTATGTCGGGCAAAGCCTAAAGATCGGATACACCAAGGTGGACACCCATGAAATGCTCCTAGCTAAATGCCTGAACTCCATTCTGCCACAGAATCACATCATGACATCATACAGATGAGGAGACATCCATGGCTCCAGCCTTATCAAAATAATACTTTGTTCTTAGATCAAGGACGCAGCTCTCATTCCTTTCCCAAATCTTTGCCACGTGCAGAATGAAGATGACATTCTATCCTGACAGAGGAACTGTCCTCATTTGATAAACTACTTAGGAAAAAATTAGTTCCAACAGAAAGGTAATAGTAGGGATTAACAGACTCACATCACCAAAAAGAATAATCCTAATGTCAGATTATTTGGTTTGACGTGAGGAAAAAAGAAAACGTTGCTGACCTTGGGCTTGCTGTCCTTTGGTTTCTTGGGTCTCTGTGGGGGGCGGTCTGAACCCGTCTTAGCCTAGAACCGCAGGCAGAAATGGGATTAAAAACGGAAGATGAGCAACAGAAGAGAAGACGTTCCAAACTCTCGCCGCTCACCTTCAGGTGTCCAGCAGAGGGGCGACACGTCAGCGCCGACCCGTTTGGTATTTTGGGGAGCGGAGAGGAGTCTGACAAGCTGACCAACGGGGGAGGCAGCGGCGGCGGTGGAGGCGGCTGGCTGAGGAACTGTGAAGATACGGTTCTGGTTATATTAAAGGCCGTCCCTCTGGTTCACCCGGCGGGGTCCGGATGAAGAGCTTTTAATACCTGAGTGGGCGAGAGGTCGCCATTCTGGGCGAGCCCGTCAGGTGGGGACAGCTGAGCGGCGGCGCTGAGCGGAGAGTCGTGATTGGTCAGCTGGTCTGGCGACAGGGCATCGCTGCTGTCTTCGTCCAAAGACGAGCTCTCCCCTCCGGCTCCCTTTGGAGAATCTGCAGCAGAACACAGTTTGTCAGACGCTGGAACAGAACCGCAGCGCAGCTTTGATCTCCTTCAAATAAACTCAGTCTTGTGTCGTAATCAGTCAATTTTAGAGAAGTTCTACAACATGTTGTGTCCTACGGCTCAAATTACACAAGCTTTCTGTTGTAACATCCCCGCCGGAGACGAGCCGCTTGTTTTTAAGGTGCAGAAAGACATCTATAGTTATGCTGCTATAGGCTTACACTTCTGGAGCACACTTCTTCATCATCCTGCTTCATTCTATCTCTATTCTGCCACTCTGCAGAATCTGTTACATTCTGCTCTCTCTGCTTTTTCTCATAGTAGCTTCATCTGATCTATTCCTGTTTGGCTGTGACTCCATCCTGGAGAGAAATATAAGCTGGGCTGTGGCCATTTTTTGTTGCCTCAGCAGATGGCCGCTCACACTGAGCCTGGTTCTGCTGGAGGTTTCTTCCTGTTAAAGGGGAGTTTTTCCTCTCCACTGTCCCTACAAGCATGCTTAGTGTGAAGGATTGCTGAAGAGTCAATGAGTCGATGCAATCAACTGGTTTTCCTTAGAAAACTTTGAATCAATTCGACTGGATGCTGATGAAGATTCTCAGTCATTCCGTAAAAGTTCAAAAAAATCCAATGGACTTAGTTTCCAAGATTTGAAGACATTTCGCCACCTCTCCAGGAATTGAATTGAGAAAGCTTCCTGGAGAGGTGGCGAAACGTCTTCAAATCTTGGAAACCAAGTCCAGTGGATTTTTTTTTTGAACTTTTACGGAATTTGACTGGATGATCTGGTGAACTGTAAAGTGCCTTGAGATGACATGTGTTGTGAATTGGAGCTATAGAAATAAACGGACAGGAAGTCAAAAACACCAGGATCCAGGTTTGGGAGTGACTCGTAAAATCTCTTAGATCTACAAGGTTTGTGTTTTTAAACAGAAAACCAAGATTGATGATAAAATCTGCCTCAGTCAGAAATGGGTGAAAAAAATCAACAGTTTGAGATCAGATCTAAAGCACCAGCATCAACAATAGGAAGGAAGGAATAGTAAGTTTCAAGATTTACTTGAAAAAAAAGCATTTCCTCTTGTTTTTAGTGAAAAAGAAAACTAATCTACCAGTGGAGGATTTTCATACTGAAAGTACTAAAGCAAGACTTCATCAGGTTCTATTTAAGGGCAGTAAGATAATTATCTGATTCTAGGGGCCAAATGACTCATTCCACCTGTTTTAAAAAAGGTTTAACACATTTTAGATCTTCTTTTAATAACTTGTGAAGGTGAGCCAAGGCATTGGGTTTAATTCAAAGGTTTCAGTTTCTTCTTGAATTAAATGTTTTTCTAGTTTTCAGCAGGTAAGAAAATGTACCAATATAATTAGAGGATTTACATTTAAAGCAAGAAAAAAATCATTATCTTATTTTAAAGCACAATATCTGATTATAAGAACATTTAATTCCACGCTGCACAAAACGATTTCAGTGTAATTCGTTCTCATTTAAGGGGATTTTCTTTCATTTGAGCAGATTAATAAAACAATTGGATGATGGAATCAAGTTTTAAGGCCAAAAAATACTCAATCTACTGGCAGAATATTTTAAATACGCAAATTTAAAGAATTTTACTTATTTTTAGATTAGTTCTTGTTGAGCAAAGATGGAAAAGCTGTTCTAGAGTTATGTAAACATTTGTTAAAAATAAGTGTATTTGCACTTAATTTGAGTAGATTAATAACCTGATCTGCCAACTGAATACATTTTATCCTCTTATAATAAGATGTTGTTTTTTTTATTTGACTCATAAATCTTCTTAATTCATTCACAGATTGTCAAACCCGCTCATATCAACCAAAACTAAAATTATTTCAAAATACATTTTAAGATATATTTTTGCATTATAGATTTGAATTCAGACAAAATTTTAAGTTTTTCAAATTTCCAACAACTTCATTAACCAAGCATAACTTTTTGTTTTTATACAAAGCTTAAGTAAAAACCACAACTAAAAAAAATTTTGTTAACTGAAAAAATATAAAACTGGTAGAAAAATGTACTAAAATGATTTAAATCCTTTATCTTCATCCTTCTGAATCGTTTTTAAAACCCTTTCAAACTGATTTAAATAGGGCTGAAACAATTAATTTGATAAATTGTTGGAGTATAGAGGCTGTAAAACATGCCTTTAGCTGATAGAGCAACCCACAAAACATAAATAAACATTTTGCATTTTAAGATAAAAAATGTTTTCCTCTGTCAATCTGTTCTATCCATGCGGAAAAGTTTGTGTTTGACCTGGTTTGATTTCATAAAAAAAAATCTTCTCTGAGGAACATTTGATTATCTGATTATTATTCGATTAATCAAAAAAAAAAAATAATCGACAGATTAATCGATTTGCAAAATAATCGTTAGTTGCAATTTTAGTTGCAGTTTTGTTTTTT